AAGAAGGAGAGAATGTAAAACAGCTTGCCAACACTTATAAGCAAAATAAAACTAGTGATAACCTTTTGGCATTCCTCAAAGCTAACAGAGAATTTCGTGAACTCAAAGGTCAGGTAAGAAACACCTATTGGGAACAATTCTTACAGGGGATTAATAGAACAACCACTCTAGCAGAAATGTGGAAGAAAATTAGAGCCATTACCAAGTCACCCACCCCAGTCCAGCTTCATCACAGCCCTGCAGAATATGCTGACATGCTATTAGACCAATGGTCTAGTGTGTCACGAATCACTTCCCTGCCTCCTGACATACAACAATATCTTAACACCTCACACATTAATAGGGGTTTCAATATTGAAATAGCCTGTTCCTCACCAGACCTTACCGACCAGTTTCCTATAACGCACCACGAACTAACAACAGCACTAATGAAAGGTGAGTCATCCTCCCCTGGTGAGGATGGCATAACCTATAACACCCTGAGATTGTTGAATGAGATCCCTAACCATCCACTGCTTGACCTGTATCAAATGAGCCTCACACAGGGTATTCTGCCTAAGACATGGACTCATGGAAACATAGTTCCAATCCCTAAAGCTAATTCTCCAAACTTCAGGCCAATTTCACTTACATCCTGTATGTGTAAAGTCCTTGAAAGAGTTGTTCTAAACCGTCTCATGTTTCAAGTCAAAGACAAACTCGCCCCTAATCTGTACGGGTTCATGCCCGGGCGTAGCACACAGACATGCTTTGCAGAATATCTTGTTCACTCAAAAGATAAGACACAAACAGCCTTCATAGACCTTAAATCAGCCTTTGATGTAGCTAATAGAGACATTATACTTGAGCAACTAGCTAATTTTGGCATACAAGGTAACCTCCTGACATGGATAAAGGGTTATCTGTCCAACAGGTATGCCAGTGTTCTGTTTAGGGGAGTTAAAAGTACCAGAATGAGATCATTTGAGCTGGGCACGCCTCAGGGAGGAGTGTTAAGTCCTATGCTCTTTAATATACTGATGCACAAGCTTATTGCTGACATTCCAGTTCAGCCAAACAAAGCCGTAATATGCTATGCTGATGATATCTGCATTATGACACAAACCAAACTCAGGCTCCAAGCCTTGCTGGATGTATTTGCTCGGAGAACTGTTGAATGCGGTCACATAATATCTGTTGACAAGACGAGGGTCCTCAATCCTCGTCCTGCTCACCCTCTGCCTCTTGACTATAACATTAACAGCATGCCCTTGGAACTATGTAGCTCCTATAAATATCTTGGAATTTGTGTGAATGATGCAAACTTTGTCAGCAACCTTCGTGACAAACTAATGCAGTGCATTAAACCCCCTCAGAACCCTTGTTGGCAAGGGCTATGGAATTAACATCACCTATGCTCGTACTTTCTATCTTCACTTCATTCGTTCTGTAGTTGACTATCATGCTCTCCATCTTGTGACTATTCCGCCTAAACAACTCAACAGCCTTGAGGTAGTGCAAAATGAAGCCATGCGCATCATCCTAGGTTGCCCAAAATCAACCAGAATTGTAAATATTAGGAAAGAGCTCGGACTGCCCTCCCTATCTGAGAGGATAGCCCTACTTAATACCATGTTTTGTGTCAAAGTTTTGAAGAACAATAGTTCTCAAACTACAACTCAAACTGAGTTGATGTTCTATCTAAGTAATCCCGACCATCTCGCCAACCTTTCACAAAAGACTCTCTTTGGGGCGTGGCTTCATAAAAGTGTTGCAGATCTCCTGAAACTGAATGTCCCAATCACCCCAGACGAACCTATTAATGCCATTCCTCCTTGGCTGGACATATCAGTTCCTATTAATTACACTCCTGTTGGTAGTAAGCAAATGTTAAACACCGATGTGGTGAGATGTGTCACACTAGAAACTATTAACAGACACATAGAGAGTATTAAATCAAGTGAATGTTATGCTTTTACTGATGGTTCTGTGCAGACAAACACAGGTAGAACAGGCTGTGCAATTGTAATATATAAAGAAAAAGAGATGATAGTGTCAAACAAACAAAGGCTGAACAACTGGGCCAGCACAACACAAACTGAACTAACTGGAATCTACTTAGCCACAGACTACCTCAAAGAAAATGGAGGTGGGGTGATATTCTGTGACTCTCAAAGTGCTTTGAAATCAATGAACAGCCCGTCAGGTTCTATGTCTAAAGTTGTATGTGATATTAAAAGGAATGTGATAACTGCCAATGAGAACAACTTTCGTATCGAATTTGTGTGGATTCCGTCCCATGTTGGAATCAGGTATCATGACCGTGCTGATAGACTGGCCAATGAGGCATGTAAGAAAGAAAATGTTGACCGCGACCTTGCTCTGTCCAATGCCGTAATTAAAAACATTCAAGTCAGAATCATGAACTCTGATCTAGAAGAAGTGAGAAATGCAGAGAGACCTGACAGTTGTAGCATTAGTAAATATGACAAATTTTGTAACAAGAGGTACCGGTATGGCCAGCATAAGGACAGAACCAGACAATGTGATGTAGTCGTGGCCAGAATTAGGCTAGGATACAGACACATCTGGTCAAGTTAGTAACGCTGTACCCATACCGGAACACTCAGCATGTAAACTTTGTGATAAACCTTTAAAGCATACACTTGAACACTATATTATTGAATGTGACACTGTCAAAGACTTCAGGCCACCTGACTTATTGTATCTTGAACTATGTAATTACTTCATTGAATCAGGTGTGCTTGAGGACATTCTTGCTGTTTATCCCAAATTTGCTAGCCCACACTGATTAGTCTTCAATTAGAATATGACTCCAATGTATGTGATCCACTGACCCATATATGCTGCTGGTGAATGTGATGTATTTCCTTCTTTGTGTACGAACCTCTGTCCTGCGTGGCAGTGAACAGTGGCATTACCCACATGAATCTGACCTATATATAGTGTCAATGAATATGATGCATTCTTTGTGTACGAACCTCTGTCCTGTATGGCAGTGAAAAGTGACATTACCCACATGAATCTGACCGACGTATATGTATAGAAGTGCATGTGTATAGAGTATATACATGTGCAAGAAAAGGAGCAGCACAGATATGTATGTATATGTGTGTGTGTGTATAAGCATATACAATGAATATGATGCAAATCTTTGTGTACGAACCTCTGTCCTGCATGGCAGTGAACAGTGACATTATCCATATGAATCTGACCTCTATACATTTATAGTTGTTAATGAATATGATGTATTTCTTTGTGTGTGAACCTCTGTCCTGCGTGACAGTGAGAAGTGATACCACCCTCAGTGTCAAGACCTGACTGAATTACTCAGAATAGGCAAACTGTACTACAAGCTCTGCCAATAAATTTGTTAAACTAAAAAACCCATAAAATTTTAAGTTCACTCGGTGTAATTCAAGATTATTTTCTTTAAATCAACACTGCACTGCACTATATATTGTCAATATGTAAAATGAATTTCAAAATGACTAATAATTGTACTGTAAAAATAGTTTATGTTCAAGAGAGCCACAAGCAAGATGTTACCTCCACTAACGAGAGATACAAACTGACGCCTTGCTGGGTGAGTCAAGTGGCTGATTGGCGCACCAAAAACTAGTTTCCTGTACTGCAATTATGTTAAATAAGTGTTAAAATTACAAAAAATTTTAATATAAGACTTGGAAAATTATTGAATAGTACGACCTTCTTGATATTTACTCAAATGGGAACAAATTTAAGCCCTAGAACCGACTACTGTATTGGCGGACTAATATTCCGGCTGGTGAGCAAGCGAAAACATGTTGATATGATTTCGTATGAATTTCATTAACAGAATTTTTGTTTGTTAACCGAATTGAAGATTCTTATGGAAGGTAATTCGTTAACCGAAATTTCGTTAACCGAGGGATCACTGTATGTAAGTGGTACATACAGTAAAAGTCTCTTAATCCAGACTCTTTTTACCTGGCTTTCTGCTTTATCCGGATCTACCCACGTGGTGGCAAAATTAAACACTTTTGAATCACCAACCTGCAGTATATCTAATTCTTTTACAAATTGGACAAACAATATTTAACACAAAGTTAGGGAAGCTGTTGATGGTTGATTTTTTCAAGTCATATTTCTCCATCAAAAGTTTTGCAGACACCTTTCTCATGTTCTTCCAGAACTGTTAGCTGGTCCTTCAAGCTTAACTTATTCTATCCCTCTTCTGACTTCCTTTTGAATTTGTCTTGCCTTTTGAAGCCATGGTAATTAGTCCACAAAGTCACAAATAGTCAACAGGAGTTAAGACATGCACACACAAGTGCTGTAGCAGCGTGACGGCTTGTAAACAAAGCTGCTGGGGCTGGTACTTGTGTGCACCAGACGGCAATCTTGATTGTCATCCGAATATTTCTTGGTACCCCCTTCCGGAAATTGCTTTATCTGGAAATTAGCGAATTATGGACTGGATTTCGCCCCATTTAGTTTGGATTAAGAGGGTTTTACTGTAACATTAATTGTGAACCACAAGATGACAGCTGTCAGTAAAGGGAGCATCTGACCTCCTAACTTTTGATTGGCTTTATGGAGTTTTTAAATAGGTAAAAGTTATCTTCAACACCAAGAATGATATAGTGAAATAACACAAAACGGGGCCGCTCCAAATATGGTATTACTACTATATTTTTGTCCTTTACAATAGATAGTATAAAAATAGGGGGTGTCCTGGTGGAAAAATTTCACTAACTCACTTAACTGTTCTCCTCAGTCACGATATGAGATTTCAAACATCATTGTTTTGTTATTTTAATTATGAAGAGCTTATCAACCTTGTAGAAAAAGTATTGTTTTAGATACAGTATATCCAATTCTTTTTCAGTGCAGTATGCAAACATGTTATCCGATTAGGAACCTGATTAAGCTAAATTGTGTTTTAACATTGTTTTTTTGTCCCCATGATTACTGTAAATTTTGTATTTAATGTTAAAGAAGAAGTGCTTCTGTTGCAGCAAAAAGTGCTGCCCATAGTGCCACTGCCACTTGCTCCTTTCCTGCAACCTGATGACCCTGATGGAGTGTTTTATAATGAGGTCTACCACTACCTTAGTTCTGGCACCTTCCCGGAGGGGGCTACAGATGTCTACAAGAAGGTCATCAAAAAGCGCGCCACAAATTACTTGGTCAGTTGATCTTTTCTATGTATTAATTGTTTTCATAAAAGTAAATACCTGAACTTGTACATAAGCAAGAGTACTACTACTTTACCTTTTTCCTTTTTACCACTTATCGGCTGGTTAGCCACTGGAGCAGTCAGTTACGTCTCTGTTACGCACTGTTGGCAAGCACTAGGCATGCACTGGCTCCTGAATAGATCTGAATATGCTCCAGTGTTGGTCAAGTCTGGTCTTGAAAGAGCTCACACTCGGTGCTGTTATAACACTCTTGGCAGGTTGTTCCAAGAGTTCACAACCTGACTGAGAGTGTTGTGACAGCTCCAAGTGTGAGCTCTTTCAAGACCGAACTTGACCAACACTGGAGCATATTCAGATCTATTCAGGAGCCAGTGATGCCTAGTGCTTGCCAACAGAGTGCAACAGAGACATTACCGACCGACCAAGCGGCTAATAATACAGTAAAAAATTTAAAGGTGTAATTGTATGATATGGACACAAAGTAGTACCTTAAGCTGTGTATTATTATATTACTCTTATATTACTCTTATTAATTATGTATAGTAAAGTATTACAGAACTGTATTAATTCTATGTAATATTCCCATTTATTATGCACCATGTTATGTATATAAATTATCATATTTATACTTTATGTATTCAGCTTGTGAATGCTGGCATCTGTACATGCAGCGCGCAGTAATACATAGAGAGAGTGAAGACAGCCAGTCCTTGTGGTGCGGAAGTGAGCTTTTTGGTCCCCTTGTATATATCTCCCGTACGAGAATAGAACCTGCTTTTAAGAGAACAAGTGTTTGTGTATACCTTCAGTAGTATAGAACACTTTGTGGGTATCAAGACGAACGTCAGATGGCGCAGTGATTATTTCTCAGTGAGATACAGTGGACAAGCCTTCCCGCCCAGACTGTGTTTATGGCGTCTCGTCTTCAGCTTCACCGGTCTACAGCAAGACTACTACAAGCCTCTAGACTTACAGTGTTGTGAAGTGCTATGCTGTGTACAGTGCTGTGCTGTGAAGTGAAGTGTTTTGTGAAGTGCTGTGTTGTGTATTTTAATCATAATTGTCTGTGCAAAGTGCAGTCAGATGACTAAGGGAGCTGGTCCAGCAGCGCGTCCGCTCCCGTCTCTGGTCCGAGGGTAACTAACCCACCAGCGAGTTACGCTGCCCAGCTGCTCCTACGTCTGGCAGCGCGCCAAGCCTCTCCCGGCCTCCCGCCAGCCATACGCACACACACACACACACATTCACAACCACCTTATATTAAATTCTTGTGACTTACTGTAGACTTCTGTAATTCTGTGCATAGATTACGAGGGGCTGACCCGGTCTTTTGCACAGATAGAGTACAGAAGCAGTCGGCATGTCTCACAGGGATCAAAATGATACCCTGGACGATGGGGTTACGCGTTTTAGTGTGGGAGACCTCTCCCCACCCACACTCAGGGCCCACGCTCCCCACACTGACAACGCCATATCACCCACAGAATCTCCTCGCTCGTCGCGAGCCAGCTCTCCTGCGATGCATGCGTCCACAGATCTCCTTCAACTGATAAAGTGGATGGAAACTTCTCGACGCCAGGATGATATTGCAAGGAGAGAAGAGGAACAAAGTCGGTACAGACAGTCTGAAAAACGGCACCATGAAGAGGAACAACGACACAGAGAACTCGAAGACATACGTAGAAGTGAGGATGATCTGAGAAGAAGAGAGGATCAAGCCAGATTTGAAGTCTTGATTTCTCTGTTAGCCTCCCCACAACAATCTACTGTACAAGATTCGTCTGCTACTACTAATGTTGATACGACTAGTGGTACTGGTACCTCATTTCCCAGAGTCGATTCAACAATCCCTCAAAAGGCTGCAGTACACACGCCTCCCTCTCTGAAGTCTGACGCTTCTTATCAGATGTTTCGGGAATGGCGTCGACGTTGGCAAGACTATGCAACAATGGTTAACTTGTCAAGTTTATCACAGCCGAAACAGATGATACAGCTTCGTATGTGCTTGTCCTTAGAGACACAACGTACTCTCGAGCACACACTTCAAGTGCCTCCTACGACAACTCTGACGGTAGAGGCCGTGCTCGACAAGTTACAGGAACACGTTAAGGGACAGCGCAACGAAGCACTCAGAAGAAGAGAACTCCTCCAATGTAAGCAGCTTGATGGAGAATCTTTTGACGAATTTTTTGTAAGACTCAAGAGATGTTCAGAGGAAGTTGATGTTTGTCCCGGACATTCTCAAGTCTGTGAAGAGACACAACTCAAGACAATCATTTTAACGGGTGTCCGAGATGAAGAGCTAGTTCAGCGTCTCATTTCCCTCTACCCCACTTCCTCCCTTCAAGATGTTGTTACAAAATGTCGAGCGTACGAGGCCGCCAGGTGTGCGACTTCAGCTTTACGCTCACAACCTGACCAGGTGAGGGCGGTGTCTTCCTACAGAAAGGGTAAGAAGCAGCAAGGTAACCCCACCCCTCACCCTCCGGCTACACCTTCAGCAGCAGCTTTGTGTAACAGCTGTGTGAGACAGCATAATGCCTCCCAGTGCCCAGCTGCTCAAAGCGTGTGCAGAAGTTGCGACCGCCAGGGTCACTGGGCTTACACAGTCAAGTGCCCTACTAGCAAAGTTCAGTGCAGACTTTGTGGTCGTGTGGGCCATTATGACAAATGTTGTCGTAAGAAGACACGGAAAGGACACCACCTCGGATCCAAGAAGTCATCCTCAGGTAGTGCTGGCGCGCCCCCTCCTTCTGGCAAGCATCAAGACGCTGTGTCCAGTCTTTCCTGCCGTCGTGTGCATTGTTCCACAGACACGACGCCCCAGCACATTAGTGTCGTCATTTCTTACGGTAACTCGTCATCCAGTCTTCAGATGTTACCTGACACCGGTGCTGACGTCTCAGTAATTGGTCCACAACACTTAGCAAGTTTGGGAATACCCTGGAGCAACCTACAGCCCCCTCCTCAGACAACGAAACTGACAGCTGATGGTTCCAAGATGGCTCCAGCTTTGGGATCTTTCTGGGCCACTCTTACCTTTGGTAAGCAGTCTTGCTCAGCCCGGATTGATGTTCATGATGGGATCCCGACTCCGCTTTTATCATATGGGCATTGTCAAGAGTTGGCCATTATTTCCAAGGAATTCCCTAAACCTATTTTAAAGGTCACCCATGTCAACAGGTTGAAGGAATTCCCTATCTCTACTAACACGTCCCCTTCTGATGCAAGAGCTTACCTTCTCAAGGAGTTTGCTGACGTGTTGGTTACGAAGAAATCTTAGGATCCACACCACTCAAGCCGATGGTGGGTCCACCTATGAAGATTCATCTTAAGGATGGTGCCACACCTTTTGCCATCCACACCCCTCGTTTGATTCCTCACGCCTACAAGGAGCTAGTTAGACAAGAGCTTGACTCCATGGTTGCTCAGGGAATCATCAAGCCGGCTGGAGACGAACCTTCACCTTGGTGCCACCCTCTCGTCCCCGTCGCCAAACCTCGTGGTGGAGTACGAATTACCACCGATCTGTCAAAACTTAACCAGCAAGTTTCCCGTCCAGCCCACCCTTCACCCACACCCTTCGCAGCTGTTCGAAATGTGGACCCGAAGGCAAAGTTTTTTACAACGATGGACGCCTTATGTGGTTATTGGCAGATCGAGTTGGCCGAAGAAGACCAGCATTTGACTACATTCATCACACCGTATGGAAGATATCAGTATTGCAGAGGCCCCATGGGATTTGCCGCTACGGGTGATGCATTCTGTCAACGTGGTGACGCGGCCCTTCAAGGAGTCACGGATTGTGTCAAAGTGGTTGATGATATATTACTCCATGATGAAGACTACTGTACCCACCTCTCCCGAATATATGAAGTTCTCACCAGATGTCGCAAGTATGGGATTACCCTCAACGCTGACAAGTTTGTAGTCGCCGCTCCATCAGTGAACTTCTGTGGGTGCACTCTCTCAGCATCAGGCATCGCAGCTGACCCGGAGAAAGTAAGTGGAATCAGGGATTTTCCAACCACAAGGACTGGCTGTCTTCACTCTCTCTATGTATTACTGCGCGCTGCATGTACAGATGCCAGCATTCACAAGCTGAATACATAAAGTATAAATATGATAATTTATATACATAAGAGTAATATAATAATACACAGCTTAAGGTACTACTTTGTGTCCATATCATACAGTAATGATGATATATTTAGTAGTTCTTGTGTTGTTAACTCCTTCATACATACTGTACGTATTTTCAAAATTTAGTAAATGAGTTTGGAGCTGTGTACAGGTTGTACCTTTGTACCTTCCTGATCCGACACCCCCTGGATTTGACTGGTGCTGGACCAAGGAATTTTCCGAACCATGGGTGGTCAGCATATTATACCAAAACACCTTACTCAGTACTGCTAAATCATTGTCTTATAACATTTTAAATTCTAATTTATATTTTAAAGTTAATTGATACAGGTTGTCTCGATGTGGCTACTTTTGCAATTAGACAACTGATCAGTGAATAAACCAGGACATATATGGAGATGCATTATACAATAAAACAATAATTATTAAGTTCTGATAAATATGCTACAATATTATTTACTAAGTGCCCAAGACAGTTCCTGTGGTAAGCACCAACCCTCTTGAGTAGTGACAACAATGGTGTTTGAGAGATGGTGAGGGCTGGCAACATTGTCAGGGATATCATGAATGATCAGCTGTTACCGCTCTAAACAAGAGACCTGGAATATGTGATTATAGGGGTACTTTGGCACAATAGCTCATCTGGGATTGAGAGTGGGATTTTTTTGAGGAAAATGAATTATTTTTCGATAATGTTTTATTAACCCAGCACTAAATACCGGTAATCCTAAATAATATGGGAATTATGGTGAAATTGCATACTGCTATGAAGGGATCGTGGGCTGATGAGCATAGGAGGTGAGTTGCCCTCTTTCTCCTCTGCCTCCCTCCTCTGCCACCCAGCA